CTTCTCGTAGAGCTTCCGTGCCCGAGTTTTAGCCGTCGATTGTTGCCGCTCATCGCGGTTTGGGAAGTTCTGTACCGTGTATGTATGTAGTCCAGCTCTCTTCTTTGCATTCTGGACGTAGCTCTGCGACATGCCGATCTTTTTAGCCAAATCACGGCTTGAGACGTTGGGATTTGCTTTAATCATCCGCTTCACCTTTCCCTCCGTCTTTTTGTTCTCCGGTCCCGGTTTTCTTCCAGCTCCTTTGCCGTGGTCCAACGTCAACCGCTCCTGGAACCGCTTCAACACTCTGGTGACGGTTGAATGGTGAATGTTCAACATTTTTCCCAACTGCCGGTGCGACAGGTCAGGAAATTCCAGGTGTTTGGAAAGAATTTGTTCTCTCAACTCGCGTTGGTTCACCTCCATTTTCGTTGAATCGAAAAACACTACTTCGAGTTTGACAGCATGTACACAATACACATCAATGAGAAAGTGTGCAAAATTTGGTTGGTTTTTACCCAATGGTAAAAAAGTTATGCCCTGTTGAATGCGTCGCAATAATTTCGTGTTCGTCCTTTAGTAAAGGAGGGGTGACTCGCCACATGCAGGCTACATGATCGCCATGGGATTAGATTGAAGTGGGTGTTTTTGCATTTTAAAGTTTATTGAGAGATAAGGAATAGTTCCAATGCGATAACGATTTAAACATTTAAACTTTTGGTTATTACGCCGCTTTATGATCTCGAAACGATGGTGATTTATTCTGTTGTGGGAGAGCTTGGGATTAAACCCATGATTTTCTGCTCAGTAAGCAAAACTGTTTCCTCCAGGGTCATCCAGCATCTCAAAACCACAACACTCCACGACAAAATATGATTAAGTTTTCGTTTGGTATGTAATAAACAACAGAGATACGCAATAATTCATATAGTTTCTACGGTTGGTGGTTAATAAGCTAATACCAGTGAGAAGCTGCAATATCCCTGTACCAGATACAGACAATTGCATAACAATCCGAACTCCCACTACAAACAATCAACAAATTCCTAACATATGATCGAAGATCTGATTACTATTTGTATTGATTGAAATAACAAATTCCACTATTGCCTATAACTAGAAACAAACAAAATGGGGAGATTTATTATATATATTTAAGGCCTAGTTGCCTTCGTATGCAGACCCCCCGCATCATATTCTTCCCACGAGATCAGCCTAAAAGTAAACTGTCTCTCTATCTCCTGATTATGCTACCTTCAAGGAATCAAAAATATCTCCAAATGACAAAATGACAAGCGATCAACGAACCGAATAATAACGCTATGTCAGAAGTGCAAAGCAATAATGATATAATCTTCTTCCTTCTTTTTCATGACAAGCAGCCCGTGCGACACAACTCACTCAGGGCGGTAGAAGGAAACGAGCAAATTGTTGGCAAGCTGCTTCACGAAGTAAACACGAACATGATACACGTGTGTTAATGGGAATTTTTTTGTTATGTCTTTTCTGTCCTCATCCGTGTATATTGCAACAAAGCAGGCAAGCAATATATCATTATCCTTCTACCACTCGGATCGAGCTATGTTACAGAGCGAGTTTGTCATGGTAGTCGTAGCAACCGTTTTGTCTGTATCGTTGGTTGCTTTATGTGTTTGGATTCGCTGTAGCACTACATTGATCTGCAAAATTTATCTTGTCTTTGTCCGTCTTAAGTTGTTACTTTTCTGTGATAAATGCTTCGTTTCGAGATAAGTTTCCTATCTAAAGTATATTTTGTTTAGGGTCAGTACTTCCATCACGACCACCTGACTCCATCCCAATGCACTGCCATGGTGAATGGTATTCCCAAATACCACAACCGAACACACAGCCATAACCAGGGTGGCAAGTGAACCTGGAAAACCAGGAAAACCGGGAAAAAGCCGGGAATTTATTTTCACCAGGGAAAACCGGGAACAAAACCAGGAATTTCATAAGTCCACCAGGAAAATAATCTTGTTTGCATCATTTAAATAGGTTTTAAATTTTATGTATGTTAAAGTTTCTTTTTATAATCAGGTCAAAACTAACCATTTTTTTCAAGCTAAATCTTTCACACAATTAAACATTGATGAACAAAATTTACCCTGAGAATTTAGTAAATATATTTTTAATTTTTTCTTGAATCAATTGCATGTATGATTTGTGCTTAATTGATAGCAGACATAAGCAGTGCCGACACGTAACTACTTTGAAGTACCTGTTCAACATGTTCAATAAAAAAGTTCTATTTTTAAAAACTTCAGATAAGGCCTTCGAACTTCATGTAAGCTCTACAAAATTCGGGAAAGTCTTACAAGTTTCAGGAAAATCCTGCTAACTACTGTGATGACCTACGACGGTGAGGAAATCTCTCCGAACCTTCAGAGAAGTTCTACAAATTTCAGAGAAGTCTTACGAACTTCAGGGAAGTCCTTTAATCTTTGGGGAATAACTACGAATTTTATAGAATTTTCTACATATTTAATGTAACTTCTTCGACATTTAAGCATTACTTAAAACTTACGGATAATCCTATGACACTCATGGATTTTTTCCGAGCTTCAGAGAAGTCTTCAATACTCTTGGGAAGTCCTCTGAACTTAACATAGTTCTCCAAGCTCAAAAAAGTTCCTAGAACTTCCGAGAAGTCGATTGAACTACAGGTAGTCCTACGAAATTCATGGGAGCTCTCCAAACTTCAGGGAATTTCCAAGAAATTAAGGAAAGACCCACAAACTTTTGGAAAACCCTTCGATACTTAAAGCCTTATGAACTTCAGGGAAGCTCTTCTAAATTTAGGGTCCTCATATATTTAGTTAAGTCCTTAAAACTTCAGGGAAGTCCTTAGATCTTCGAGAAAGTTCTTCGAACTTGAAGGAAGTCTTACGAACTTCTGAGAATTTCTACGAATTTCGTGGTACTTCTACGATATTTAAGAAATTCCTATGAATAAAAAAAAAACTCCGAACTTCTAGGAGGTCCTAAGATCTTAAAAAAAGTCCTTCTAACTTCGGGGAAGTCCCATATGAAATTCAGGCAATACAATCTTCAATGAACCTTTCAGGAAAGACCTTAACGTTTCAGGGAAGTTCTACGAACTTTAGGGAGTTTCTATGAACTTCAGCTGTCAGTCGTTTTAATAATAAGAGTTATTAAAACAGCGTTGTTTTTGAAATCTTTTAATCATTTGATTTTGAAATCATGTTGTTATCAAAATTCTGCTAAATAAGATCCTTAATCGTTGGGAATTTGCGGAAAATTTAAACAAACTGGAAATCCGTAAAATTGTTAGAAGCAAAGGTTTGTTTAAAGAGTCCTCATTCATATCACACTTCGCAATTTCACCTTGAGATAAACTAGCCCGTTGGCTAAAAATCTCAATAATAAAGTTAAAAAAATCGCAGTTTCAAAAACAGAAATCTCAAGATTTAGGGGCTTATAGATCTCTAAATTTCAGACATTAGATAGGGCTCCGCGCTAGTCCATCGTATCTCAGCTTTTCTTCGTCAGATACCCCTAAAATCGCTCATTTTACGGGTTATCGCAAATGTTTCAGTGTCAGTAACAAGTTTATTGAACTTAATTGAAAATCTAAAGTTCTGAAAACCTTAGGGGCGTTCTGTGAACTTCAGGATATTTGTGCGACCTTCAAAGAAATGCTGCGAACTTGAGAGAACTTTTGCGAACCCATGTAAAGTTCTACCAACTTAGGGATAGTTCTTTGAACTGCAATGAAAATCTCCGAAATCAAGGAAAATTGTATGATCTTCGATAAAGTTCTGCGAACCCCAGGGAACTCTTACAAATTCAAGAGAAACAGATAAGTCCAACAACTTTCAGAGAAGTTCGTTGAACTTCATGAACGTTCTATAAACTTCAGGAAAATTCTGTAAACTTTAAAGACGTGCTTCGAACATCAGATAAGCTCTTGCAAACTTCAGGAAAATACTTAGTTTTGCAGAGAAGTTCTACAAACTTCAGGGGCGTTTTGCGAGCTTCAGAGAAGTTCATTCTCCTCGTGGTAAGTTCAAGTGAAGTCTACTCGTTCAATGAATCCTCGCAACTCGCAAGCACATTATTGATTGATTTTGGCCATGAAGTTTGGTCAATTTTCAATAGTTTAATTATGATAAACAATTACAATTTTAATACCGTTAAGCACTCAAAATCAAACACTTAGTCCAAAAATAGGGACACTTTTAAAAGTTGATTATCAATGCCTACCATGCTCAAAATAGCACGAAAATTTTAACGTGAACTTATGGCATCGTTCAAAATCATCACACATGTTTATTATGTTGCAAGGTAGACCTAATAATTAATCAAAAATTAAATGTCAGAATTAACGAACCGTATGGGAAGAAATCTGAATCGGTTGGTAACATTTGGCATCCATCGATAAATGGCCAAGTTATAAGCGTTCAAAATCTACCACAATTTCGTTGCACTTCCAATTGGCAAATTTCGTATTTGTACCCCAGTGTTATAAAAAAATATTCCACAAAAACGTGGTCCTACGTCAAAAATGATTATATGGTACTTGTCGTAAATTATCGTGTGATAGCTCAGTAGAGAAATAGATGAAATCTGCTAAGGGGAGATGCATAAATGACGTAGCGTTTTAGGGTGACCAACCATGTAGAAAAATACGTCATTTTTGACGTAATGAAACCAAATCAGTGCCAACATTTCAAAATGGCGTAATTGATTTTGTGAACAATGGCTTAACCCGTCGATTTCTCACAAATAAAAGCTCACCCCTTCAAATTAACATATTGGTGTCAGTAATTTTCATGAGTGAGCTTTTATTCGCGAGACATCGACGACTAAAGCTATTGTTTACAAATGCAATGATGCCCCTTTGAAATGTTGTACAGCATTCAAAACATGGGACCCGATTATGTAAGTCGAGTCGAGCATCACTTCCTGGTCACTGGTCAATTTTGGCATTACTTCTGGTAACGATAACGATATTCAACAAGTATATGATGACGAACCTTTCCGACTGCAGCGTTTTTCGGTAATCCTCTTCTCCGCCGCATATCCCGTTCACGCCAGCACTATGGCTATTGTTTCTATTGCTATCACTACGTATCACGTTGCTATCACTAAATTTACTGCTATTATTGTTACTATTCACATTCCCTCCGGTACTGATAAACTGGGGCACCTTGCGGGGTCCTCCACAGGAGTCCACCGACGCATTGCTATTGTTACTGCTGCTACTACTATTGCTACCACCTTCAACTCCACCACCATCAATCACATGTGCTCCAAGAGGAGATCCCGGAAATTTTGCCGATTTTACATTGTAATTAGCACTATTATTATTATTATTATTGTTGTTGTTGTTGTTTTGATTGTTAACGGATCCATTCTGAAACAGTATATCCTCAATGGAGAACGGAATCTTGGATGCGATCGTACCGCCGGGTGTACTGCCACCGAGTACCGTCGGAGATTTGTTCGATTCCTTGTAGGAAAGCGGATGTAGAGCCATATTCCAAGCAATTCCTGAGAGTCACAACTGTTCACAACCGCTACTACTATTACTACCACTACTACTTCTGTTCGCTACTGGCATCGAGCTGACCGAATGGGATGCTTCCGAGCCGAAGGACGTTAACGAACTGAGCGACGTTTCAAAACCGATAACCGTTCTAATCGATGCTTTCCGAAGGACGTTTAAAAGATTTATGAAGCCCGGAGAATTTAACGTGGGAAGCACCCATGTCGCACATCCCGGACTCCTGTCGCAAAGTTTACCCCCTTCCAATCACGTGGCTTGCCTTGATGACCCAGGACGCACACCAACACACAGCAAACGACGTGAATCGCGGTGGCAAGGATAATGAAAATGTGTATTCCTATGCTGCTATAGTAACAATATAACAGCACATAGAGCAGCCAAGGAACGCGCGCGCTTGTTATCACATTGCATACTTGCAGGAGCATGTAACGATCTAGCGTGACAGGAGGCAGTCTCATCAGGAAGAAGTAGGTTATGTACGCAGAAGGTGCTGAGGGTGGTGTATAGTCATTGCTGTTATGTTTTTCCTCCCTCGGTTCCGTTCGTTCATGAGGCCATGTAGGAGAAGCGCTTGAGCATGTCCTTTTTCCGTCTCTGTCTTTTCAGCGACGAATGATACGGGGTGTCGTTCGTTGTCCTGGAAATGCTGTCTCACAAGGAGGCTAAAATACATACAAATATTGCACACGCATACAACGCTGAAAGCAGTACAGGATACTCAAGAAGGCAATTACATATTTTCCGTAATGAATCGTACACCATAAGCGCATAAATTGTCTGCTTTAATTGTGGCGAAATGAGTTTCGTGTGACGTGTTTGATACTTTTAATTTCTGGAGATTGTGTGACGTCAATAATTCAAACCTGAAAGTTATTAAAAAAGCTGTTTTTTTAATGCATAATCGATGGAAGAGTCTTTTGTAATTAAGCAATTACATTTGAACAACCGTTCTAATTGGTGGCACCAAATTTGCTGTGAAAATATCGCTGAATGGGTCGTTCTGGCCACCCAATGAGAGCGAACCACAAAAATTAATGGTCAGCAAGTGGAGTGGAATAAATTTCCACCAGAGGCCATTGTCATGACGTGCCAGTCACCTGTAATGTATTTAATTATGGCTCATTAAAATTTTAATGAGCTGCATTATTTTTCAGTTTGTGGCTACTTTTTCCCGAAGCGTCGGGGGTGGCATATTTGAAATGAGCTCCATGCTGAGCTGGAATCGTTAACGATGCAAACCTAAAGCACCAGCTGATGGGAGACGGGTACAGTGTAACGCATGCAGAGAGAAAAATGTTCAGTTGTGCAATTAGAAGACATTGATGAAAATCACACGATACTACCGGCATAGTGCCATAGAAGTCGAGAAATGTTTAAATTCGAAGAGTCCTTACTAGACCGGACTGGGAATCAAATCCAGCCGCCTCCATCATGTTCTTGCTTAAGCGTTGTATGGTTGTACTGGCTGAGCTAAAGGAGGCCCTTGAGGCTGCAATTGCAGCTTACAAAAGTTCATTTCGATTCCAGCTGCAGAACGAGTATGAAAAATAAGCGACTGCGTCGCGAGTGACTTTCCTGTATTCATTTTGGCGGATTTTAACATTTTTGCGATCCTGGTAAGAGGTCAATTCCACGATACGCAGTATCCTAAACCATGACATTCTCCAAACTTTAGAAAAGAACTTAAACCTTTTCCCCGAAATTACTAAACATCTGGGTGAAACAAAGCTCCCAAAACTTCAAGTAAGTTCCCAAAACAAACCCGTATGTTCTAAGACGTATGCTGAACTTTCACAATGTTCTCTGTGTTTCTACGAAACTCTTTGAAACTCTCCGAGCTTACGCTTAGCTTCCCGAACTTTCTGAATAAGTTTCCCCATTTCTCGAAATGCACACCATTATGCAAAGCTTCGTGCAAATTGGTTTGATCTTGCTCATTGTCTGTAGTTCGGTCGCTTTTATCGTTCCCTGTCGGTGGAAATAAAGCTGACTAAATATTAGATTCAGCTTTACCACTGGTTCGAAGCAGTCCAAGGCTGAAATAGCGAATTTTGTGAAAACGCTGAACGCAGATGCCATTCAGATGATCGCTACATATCACAAAGTCGAGGAAAAATCTATGTTCATCAAGCTTAGAACAGACGAATCGATGCTTCATTGCTTGTTGCACACCCGTGAGTATTTAATCGAATATTTAATTGGGTTCTTTAATTTTGAAAAATTTATCGGTTTTTATACACCATCTGATAGACCATGCCACTGCGTCCTAGCAAGAAGTACGGTCGACTTAGTTCGCGCTCCGCTATTTTGGAAGTTTTCTCGATATTCACTTGATTTAAATTATCAGTTTTTCTCGCTTAGTGTTTCCTGACATAGTTCCCAGTTAAACAATTAACTAAAAGTGAGTTTTTTTCTGAGAAGAAAGTGTGTTTTCGGCATCATCGGAAGGAAAATTGTTTTGACGATTGCCAATTCGCCAACCATTTTGCGCACCATCGGTGCGTGGTAACGCATACCTGCACACGGATCATCGTCACGAGTGTCAGCATCTGCCTCCGCATTTACACCGCTCATCTATCATCGTGTGTTCAGCTGAGTGCCGACCCTCATACAAGCACACACCAACGAAGACCGCCCGCATACGCTGATCGAAGATCATCCACGCTGCGCGTCGCTCCGCTGCTGCTGTTTAAACGCTCGGTGGTAGTAGTATAGGAGTATCAGATAAGTTTTTGTTCTTGTTTCTCTCTTTCGCCCATCTGTTAAATTTTAAGTTTGTGTTCTGTGTTTGTAGTTTTTTTTTGTGTATTGTGTCCGAGTGATTATCGTTTCAGTGGTAGAGCGTTTTTCGCTCCCACTAGTACGGCAAAATGGACATTTTGTCGCAAGACGAAATAGACGTTTTGTCGGAAGATGACACCACTTTGCCACGCGATAGCAAGAAGGGTCGAAAACGTACGTCATCTCAGAAGAAAGATGATGTCATCCCTGGTTCATCGTCTCAGTCTGGCAAAGGACAGGCTCAGATAAACCCCCGATCGCGAGCCTATCCAGATGACTCGACTGGCCCATGGGTTGTCTACTTTCAGCCCAGAAACAAACCTTTGAATGTAATGCAAATTACGAATGATCTGACGAAGCGATACTCGGCCGTGACTGAAATCACGAAGGTTAGGCACAATAAACTTCGTGTCTCCGTCTCTAACCTGAAGCAGGCTAACGAGATTGCTGCCTCCCAGCTCTTCACGCTCGAGTATAGAGTTTACATCCCAGCTCGTGATGTGGAGATCGAAGGTGTGGTCACCGAAGCGAGTCTGACCCCCGAGATCTTGGAGAAGCAGGCGGTTGGCCGTTTCAAGAACCGTTTGCTTCCCCCGGTGAAGATACTGGATGTCCAAAAACTGGGCTCAGTATCTGTCAGCGAGGGTAAAAAGAGTTTTACCCCCACAGACTCGTTCCGTGTGACCTTTTCTGGTTCAGCCCTTCCTCACTACATCGAGCTGGGAAAACTTCGACTACCTGTGCGTTTGTTCGTTCCCCGGGTCATGAACTGCCAAAACTGTAAGCAGTTGGGACATACGGCCTCCCACTGTGGCAGCAAGGCACGCTGTTCCAAATGCGGAGAGAAGCATGGGGATGACACCTGTGCAGCTACCGCACCAAAATGCGTGTACTGTAAGGGAACTCCTCATGGTATCTCGTCATGCCCGGTGTACAAACAACGCGGGGAGAAATTACAACGCTCACTTAAGGAACGTTCCCGGCAGTCTTTTGCAGAAATGCTTAAGACGGCCACGCCATCGACCAACGACAAAAATCCCTTTTCTCTTTTGTCAGATGACGAGACTGACTCTGACTTGGCTGAGGAGGGAACTTCTTTCCTTTTTTCAGCACGGAAACGAAAACGCATCCGTTCGCGGAAAGTTGAGAATGAAGAACCTCAAATCAGCTTGCCCAAATCAAGGAGTGGTGGAAAAAAGGAAGTTTCTACTCCTCCTGGATTCAGAAGAACTGACTATACCCAGGATTTTCCACCTCTCCCGGGGACATCCAAAACCCCTGATGTCCCATTTTTAAGAACAGAAGCCCCTTCTTCATCTGGGTTGTTCTCATTTGATAAAATTGTGGACGATATCCTCAAGTACCTGAATATTTCTGATCCTCTGAAAAGCATTGTTCTGGCAATGCTTCCTACTGTGAAGACCCTCTTAAAGCAATTGACATTGAAATGGCCCCTCCTTGCAGCAATCATTTCCTTCGATGGATAATTTTCCAAACGAGGTCGGGGATTTGATCACTATTCTACAGTGGAATTGTCGAAGTCTTATTCCTAAATTAGACTCTTTTAAGTTTTTAGTTCACAATAATGATTGTGATGCATTTGCTCTTTGTGAAACTTGGCTCTCTTCAGATATTGATCTTCCTTTTTATGATTTTAACATTATTCGACTGGATCGTGAGGATTCGCGTGGAGGAGGGGTACTTTTGGGGATCAAAAAGTGCCATTCCTTCTATAGAGTGAATCTTCCACAATTTCCAGGTATTGAAGTTATCGCATGTCAGGCTATTTTTAAAGGTAAGAGCCTTTGTATTGCTTCTGTTTATATTCCTCCTAGAGCCGTTGTTAATCGAAAACAACTTTCAGATATATGTTCGGTACTTCCTGCTCCACGGTTGATCATGGGAGATTTCAATTCCCACGGTACAGGCTGGGGGGAACTGTATGATGACAACCGTTCTACTTTTATATATGACCTCTGTGATAACTTCAATATGACAATACTTAACAATGGAGAAGTAACACGTTTGGCTGGACCATCCTCGAATGGAAGTAAATTAGACCTCACACTTTGCTCTAACTCATTATCGTTGGATTGCACGTGGAATGTGATCCAAGATCCCCACGGTAGTGATCACTTGCCGATCAAAATTTCGATTGCCAGTGGGTTCAATCCGTCGGAATCCGTTAACGTCGCGTACGACCTCACCCGTAATATCGATTGGACAACGTTCAAGACCGCGATAGAGGAAGCCGTGTCGTCGGTAGAAGGGCTTCCACCGTTGGAGGAATATAACTTCCTCTCCAATCTGATCTTGGACAGCGCGCTTCGAGCTCAAACTCGGTCGGT